CAGTGCCCCCCGATCTTTCGTTCTGTTGGGTTACGTTTAGCGCCTTCTATGCTCACAGAATATGGATCAGAGACACTGGAGTTAAGCTTGTTAGTTATTAGAGGACATGAGGGGCAATGGAAAAGCCTTTGGCTCCAGCAAGACAACTCGCCAAGTGTGGTGGAGCCTGCTAATGCGACTGGCTAAGCTGTGAGATGCGGGTTCCATCAATGAAGATGGACTTCTCCCCTCAGGTAACCTATCAGGAATCTGCTCACGAGTGCCTGGGTTTCATTGGAACATCAATCCATGAGTCTGTCTTAAATAATACTGTGAGTTAGCGAAGCATGAAACTATGGCTGCCAGTGAATGTGAAATTACTGCGCCTGCATGCATACAGTAGAGAGAGACAGAGAGAGCTGAAGGGTAAGGAGGTGTGGGAAAACATTGTATTGCAAGGAGGTGACAATGAAACTAGAGAAATCTAATGCGTATCACCCGTTAGAAATACCAGACAGTGCAGATTCAGTGCATATGTTGCTGTGTAAAGCCTGTGTGGAGAAAAGCATTTAAAAAAACACTGTCTAATGATGAAGCTGTTTCATATTAGTGAGATAGGGTATTCTGCTCACCTATTAGCTAAAATCTTATGACAGCCCATCGTAATGATCCAGAGAGTAGCGGTGTGCTGCAAACTAATTAAATGTGTTCACAGCATTTTCTATTTAGGGCGCGTGCAGGTGGATCACATCACCAACATACAGAACACTGGAAATGTCTAAATGCAAATCATTCTACAGATGTGCATCCTCTCTTTACTACAGTCCTGCACGGTGAGCCAGCAGGCTTAAAAGGAGCAATGAGAGTGGAAAATCCCACTGAAGTAGAATTATTAATACATTCTCCTCAAGGTCTGTTTGAAATGAAAGCCTGAACACAGAGTCACCTCGGAGCAAAGAAGGAGAGAAGATATGACTGCAGAATCCTGACCAGTGGTTTCCCTCTCATGAGACATATATTATGGACCGAATTCCTAATGAATTGCTTTTGCTTTTATGTTTTAGAAAAGTGAGAGAAAGACAGAGACAACAGAAGATGGACAGCTGCCTGGTGAGAGTTGCACACATTTGAGAGTTTATGATGGAGATTTGCGTCATGCTCTCGGCAGGGACCATATTGAATCTAAATGTGCTATCTGCCAGGAATCAAAAACACAAGGGAGATGGCCCAAATATTTATATAAATATGTGTGTGTGTGTGTGTGTATGTGTGTGTGTGTGTGTCTATAAATGTGCCTATCAGAGTTCATCTCCTTCTTTACTTTTGCAGCAAAACACCTCATGTCCCCAGATAAATTCAGCTGTAAAAGGCGATGAGTTGTGGTAGAATATAACTGAGGAGCCTATAAAACAGAACAGCAGGTGGGAATAAGAGGGGAGGTGGTAAAGGACATCTTTGTTTCCTCATCTTCTTGTATGAGCTCCCTGTTACTGTAATCCTCTCACATAAGCCAGGCAGTTTAAATCTTTTCCCACCCTGCTTTAATGATGCAGAAAGATGAAATCTGCGATTTCGAGGTCCAGTGTCAAGGTAGAAGGCAATAAATGTCTTGACACATTGGGAATTGAAATGGGTGCCGTTCACACATCACAGTCCCTATGCCATCAGAAAAGACACTCAAAGTCAGCTTGCAGCAATGCTAGATTTACTATTCATCTGAATTAATTATTGATCAGTTTACAGTGCTCTAAATGAATCACGTGATCAGCTGCGGCAGAGAATGACGCATAGCTAATTTTAACTAAAAACAAAAACAGTTTTTTTTTCCAAACACAGGGACAAAAGAAAATAATTCCCCTCTTGTTTTCTGTTGCAAACAACAAGCCTCCAAACACAACTCAGTTTGAAAGCTGTTAATCTCATTGTGTTTTCTCTGTGTCTTAGACAGAGCAGGGACAACCAGCCAGACTGACTGTAAGTGATTAATATGAGAGAAATGCAGCTCAGTTCCGGCGAGTGTCACAGCAGATACTTTTTGTGCGCATAATGAATGCAGGAGCTCTGCCAGCAAAGTGTTAAAATTGATTTCCAACACAATTTGAGGCAATTTACACTCAGTTAAGAGCTGTAAATGATGAACATTAATATTTTGACTTGGTCTAGATTTTTGTTGATTGGTTAAAGTGAATTGTTTTGGTATTGTCGCCACACAGTGGACAATAACACTCCAAATCTGTTTGCATATTGGTTTTGAAAGTTTTATTGAGAAAACTCTTCTCTGAATAAGTCTGATACCATGTCCAATCACAGAGAAACCAGCTGGCAGTGGTGGGTTGTAACTGACACGTTCTCATCCCATGTTGTAAAATACCAACAGAATATTAAATATTCCAGAATATAATAATTAAGTAGTAGTTCATATATTTTGTAGCAAGTGCACTCGAGTAAGAGTAAAACTTATTCTGCAAAACAACGACTGTTAGAGGCACAATTTATAAAAAAAACCCAAGTACATGTAATGGAATAATGTAACATGCTACTAAAGCCAATTTTCATTCCCAGGTCGACAAATACTAGCGCTTTTTCACTCCCCTCAGTGTATGATACCAATGGTGAAGGCACCCTTTGGAGTCTCTATGATACGCACAGCTGTCTCCTGGGTGAGACTCATTGTAACATGTGATATAGTTGTCAAATGGTCGTGGTTGAGACAACATAACCACTTGGTTAGGTATATTCAAAACGTCATGTTACGGGTTAAAATAAGTACGTAAAGTGATGTAAATATGTGTGATGGACAGACCTTACGCCATGGTTTCAACAGCACTCGCCAGATAGATTCCCCTCAACAACGAAGGGGTAGTGTTGAGTGGTAGGGAATTTTACCTACGAATTGGAACGCCACTTCATGCAAATTAACGTAACAGACGTGTTCATCACGTGTATCGTCGACGTAGGCTTCTTGCACAGAGAACTCTGTAGATACTCATGTTGGCTACATCATGAATAAGCGTTTTTCAAGCATATATATTCCAACTCAACATTACAGATATGCGGAAACATGACACATTCCGACATATTTTGGAATTTTTGCGTGCTTATTTGCGAAAATAGTACTTAAATTGTGCGATGATGATGATGCGATTGTGCGAATTTCCCTTCACACGCAAAAACAAGGGCTAGGGACAATTTTGAGGGGAAGTGTGAGTATTGGGACGGACCCTTGGTGTCATATGGCACATCAAAAGTGGATTTCCTGGATGAAATTCTATGTTTGTTTGATCCACTCATCCTATGCGGACTTTCTCGCTCTATACTATGTCAGTTGCTCTAAGTGTCAAATGTTACAGCAGATGGGTTTACCTTGAAATTAGCTCAGTACAAGGCAAACCAACTACTTAAAATTTCTAATACTGTAATCCAGTGTGGTCGGACCACTCTGGATTACAGTATTAGAAATTTTAAGTTGCTGATTTGGTTCAGAAATCCCTTTAAGTCCTAAGCTGTGTTTACTGGGGGATCCGTCACAAATACCAAACTTATCCAAATGTGCATTTTCTGTTATTATTTTGGGTCTGATAACTGTCTGTGGAGTTATTCTAAGACACTGGATGGCGAAATTGGGTTGATGCAATGGTGAAAATAGCATATTATGAATGTATACTTAGTAGAATAAATGGCGATCAGGAGAAAGAAGTTTCTCCTTGGGATCGGTTCTGGACTCATATCAAAATGGATGATAAGCCTACATAATTATGAAATTGCTCTGTGATTATGTGACCCTGTAGGGTGATGTATGAGGATGTAGGTGTGACATGTTTTTTTTTGTTTGCTTGTTTTCTTCTCTTTCCTTCTAGACTTATGTGTTCATTTTTCTTTATGCTCTGGAGTCCAAATCCATATTATAAAAAAATATGTGCCTTGTATTCTTGTATGCCCTGATATAATAATATATGTATGCCGTGTACCGAGCCTTTCAAACCAATAAAATTTGCAAAAAAGGAAAAATAAAACATAAAAAGCCTGGCGTGTCTTAGAGAGACACCAAGGGTGTCTTTGCTGTCGGTATTGCACACCAAGGGGTGTGATGGAGTTACATTTACTCCGTTACATGTTGTGGATATTTTTGTTTAAACAAATTATACTGCAGGGTAGTTGTTTTGCAAAACATTTTTTACTCTAACTTGAGTACATTTGTTTTAAAATAGACTTACTTCTACTCAGTTACATTGGACTACATGATTTTCTGACAGCCTTTGCACACGCATACACACATGCACTCACACACAAGCTTGTACTTCATACTTGTGAGGACATTATTCGATGCAGTACATTTCCTTGCCCCTAACCCTAACCTTAACCATCATAACTAAATGTCTAACCCCAAACCCTAACCCAAATATGAACCTAATTATAACCTTAACCCTAAAACCAAGTCTGAAGCCTCCAACAGGTCTGAGGGTCTGTACAAAAGTGAATACCAGCCAAAATGCCCTCACTCTCAAGGTCTTATACTGAAATTGGTTCTTACAAAGATAGATGTACAAGTGCACACACACACACACACACACACACCACCCAGACCCAGTGCCCTGGAGAATTGCCATATTCTCAAACTCAAACTGCCGACTACTGAGGCGTTTCTTTGGAGCTGCTGGGGGTTAAGTGCCTTGTTAACGTGTAGTTTGATAGAGTTGGATGGTTCATTAGGCTGTTTGTTTTCTGTGTACAGACCCAAAATACAACGGGCATATAGAGTATATCATATCATCTATCATAACTGATACTCTGCTGAATCAAAGTGTTTCTTAGGAACTGTTTAGTTTTCATTTCAGATACGTGTGGGTTAAACTGAAGGGAAAAGAGAAGAAGTCACAGTTTCTCTGGAACACAGAAAGCTCAGTCAAGAGTCCTGCAAGCTAAAAACCGGCTTTGCAACATTGTAGTGCAAACAAGTTCTGCGTCCCTGCTCCTCCCCCGAGTGAACAGAGCTGTCTAGTATCTATGTGACTCCACATGCCTTTCACACAGCTAGCTGCCACTCATTTTAATGTGTAGCCATGTACTACGACTTTCTCTTTCCCTGCATGAGACACAAGCTCCTGCGGTGCAACTGATCAATGCTGATCTGAGGGATAAACCCTGTTTTATGTGTAGGATTAAACAGTGAGTGTGTCAGAGAGGATCTCTGTGCTCATGGATTGCATTGGCGGATCCCCTGGGCTGTTGAGGAGCTTCAAGAGGGACGACTTTGAGGCTGACTGGATTAAATTGGCAGAATGCAGATTTGGTCAAGTGTACCAGGTCAAACTGAAGCTCCAGCAGGAAAAATATGCCTTGAAGAGCTTTGACACAGCCTTGTGTGCAACTAACTTTTACAGGTGGGAACCTAAATTGTGAAAACTAGCACAAATTGTATATCAACCTGCTGTTAAGAACAACAACTGTCTGGAGTTACAATGATTTCTCAGTTTATTGGCTAAATTGTGTCTCTTAAATTAATTAGTACTCTTTGCACCTCTACAATGTTTGACAAAGGATTGAATGTTTCTTGGTTCAAGTTACAAAGTAACCTTCACTGACCATTATGTTTTCCATCACAGGAGACTAATAGACGAGGCATCCATCATAGCAAAAGTGAATTCCAAGTACATCGTGTCCATCTACGGACTGTGCAGTGAGCCGACTGCTGTGGTGATGGAGCACATGAGTAATGGATCACTGAACAATCTCCTAGCCAGTCACACTTTAATGTGGCCAAAGAAGTTCCAGATGATTCACGAGGCCTCTATGGGAATGAATTTCCTTCACAGCATGAAACCTCCACTTCTCCATCTCAACCTCAAGACATCCAACGTCCTGCTAGATGCACACCTCCACGTCAAGGTCAGTAAAGCTCAGTGACAACTGCATGATGACACTGTAGATTATTACAGCGATCTCTTGACATTTCTGTACTCTGAAGAGCACTTCTGTACTGCTTCTTGTTTTTCTACCAAGATTTCAGATTTTGCTTTAGTCCACTGGGAAGAGGGCATGAGCAAGAAGTTGTTCATGGAGCATCTGACAGTGAGAGGAAACATAAGTTACATTCCTCCAGAGACATTCACTCAGTGCCCCGATCCTCCAGGAACTACCTTTGATGTTTACAGGTGACTTGCCAAGGGCATTTTTGAAATTGCACCATCAGAGTCACTGCCCCCCCCCAACCTCTTGATTTAGTGCACAACAGTGTAACCTTGCTCTCTACTGTATATATTTTTTCTCCATTTCAAGTCAGTGGGACATATTCTATATATTTTGCTCATGTCTGACTCAGTCTTTCCTGCCCTTTAATATTCATTGGTTTTATTCTATCTTAAAAAACATTGCCTTTTTTACAGAGCTATTTTTTATATAAAAGAGGAACTGCTACAAAGTTCACTGAATGCAGGGTGTGCAAAAATGTGGAAGTTAGGACTGAAGTGCCTCTTTCTTCTTTGATCTACAGCTTTGGCATAGTAATGTGGGAGATCCTGACTCAGCAGAAACCACACGCAGGTAGGGACGAGTTCATTTGAAATGCATCACATCGTCATATCAAATAGATTTTTAGGTGTTACTTCAGCAAGGAGTCATGTAACACTCAATATGATCACTTAGACTGCATGAGGAGGGGAAGGCATTTTTATCTCAGCTTTTCACAGTTGCTTTTGAAAATGATGTAAGAAAAATTTCACCATTCATATCTCATTTTAACCCTCTTGATATTTTTTTGCATTGTAGTAAAGTGAACATGATACTAGTCAAGCCGAGGCTTTCTTTGATGAAGTACATAGCGCAAATCTGGTAATGTCCAGCAACAGTCATACAGTCTTCCAGCTTCCTCCCACAGCCCAAAGACATGCAGGTTAATTGGTGACTCTAAATTGTCCGTAGGTGTGAATGTGAGTGTGAATGGTTTTCTGTCTCTATGTGTCAGCCCTGTGATAGTCTGGCAACCTGTCCAGGGTGTACGCTGCCTCTCGCCCAATGTCAGCTGGGATAGGCTCCAGCCCCCCTGCAACACTCAAGAGGATAAGCGGTTATGATAATGGATGGATGAATAGTCATGGCTAGTTTTTTCCCTGGAAGCAAATAACCCTTTACTTAAAAATAATGAAAACCTTGATCTTAAATTAAGCATTTGTGAACCTTTTTATGTCATCACCCTTGTCATGTATTAATTATCAAAACCTAAACTGCTAATCCAATCTAAAATTTTGTTTTATTTACTTACACATAACTGCACTTAACTCTTTTACAGAAAAAGTTTGACATTTTGGGAAATGGCTTATTGTCTCTCTTGCAGAGTATAACATATAACATCGATACCACGGTCATGTTTGTCCATTAGTCATGAAGTTACAGCCAGGAGATGGCATGGTAATAGAATAGACCTACCAGCATCGCTAATGATGACAACACACCAAGCAACATTACCCCACAAATTACATTTTTTCTGTGGCTGTGAGGTGTGTTCATGTGTTTCAGGCAGGAAGAAATTCTTTGAAACAAGAGTTATCACGTTACAGGAGTCACAGGACTTGACTGGCTGCAAAAATTCTTTGGCTGCAATTCACTGCTAAAAGTTAAATCGTCCCCTGCTTTTAGTTTGGCCACACTTTGCTGCTGCTTGGTGTGATTTGGCATTATGTTTTTGGCATTAAGCTCACCGATTAACACGTTGCATTTTGGTACAGAAAACAGTGTTAAAAAACACCCTGAAGCTATTCCCTTTAATAGAACAAACAGGCAAACATAGTGTGTTACTGTCATATCATTTTGTTGATCTACATTGAACCTTGTGTCTGACTTCTGTTTCTTGGACCCAGGGTGCAGCATGACCACAGTGCTCTTACAGGTTTCACACGGTAAGAGACCCTGTGTGGAGATGATACCCGAACAGAGGCCCCGCGAGTGTGATCAGATGATCAGCATCATGAAGCAGTGCTGGGACCAGGATCACGGGAGGAGGCCACAGTTCTCAGGTGCAGAAGTCAAAAGCTGACTTTCTAATTTTGGATTTAAAGCTTTTAATGGAACTGCAGCACTTTGTGTCAGGACAAAGACTGGTTAATGGCCAGCCTGCATTTAAGAAAGGATCATAGCATGAACTATAGCTCGGTGTCATTGACTGAAGATGATGTGTGACTTGTCAAATTTGTCTGATGGTGTGTGTAATTGCTTTTGTCATTTTCATGTCTCGTTAAAAGCAATATTTGAGTGTAAAATGATGCCAGTTTGTTTTCCCTTAATGAGATTGTCAGCAGAAAAGAGAAATGTTATCAAACACAGTATTAATATGCAACACACAGATTCCAACACACTGAAAGATGATGAGTGCCAAGTTAAAAAACAGACATTTTAAGGTCATGTTGAAACATCAGTGTTTTAATCTGCTGCTATTAAAGCCATTTGGCACTTGTCCTTCTTTTGATCCACATTCTTTGAATGTACCAAATTAAGTAACCATATTGTCCCCTTCGAACTTGTATGTAATCATTAAGTCAGCGGTGAGTTATGACGCGCTCATAGAGAACACATTCTCCTGCATGTAGTGCTTGAGTGAAACGCGTAAGTGGGTCACCTTTGTCTAGACATGCACCTGTGACTTGAGGAGACATGTTAATACAAATGAGTGTCATGCATATTCATAAACAGCAGTAATTCCAATTTGACACGTTCACAAAACTCACCGCTGGTTGCATATGTGTGAAAGAATGTACCTGTAATTCACACATGATTCACTCTCTGTAGGTGCAATCATGAGAGGATCCCACTGAGTTTCTGAGTTGCGAGTCTAAGAATACATTTGTTTAAACAGGCAAATGAATAACAGTTCTTTTCTTGACTGCTGTTTTGTTTGCAGACACTGTGAGGAAAATTGAGACTCTTAGTGGAGTCTTGAAGATCCCAGGACCAACCCAAGGCCAGGAAAATGGTGACGAGGGACAGGAATCATATTACCCTCAGCTGGTTTCCCCAAAACATAAAGTTAGTTTTGCTTGATACTCTGCTCGAATGGAATTGTAGTGTCTACTGTCATTAATCCACCTTTTGCACTCTGAGTAGCTCAGATTAATGGTATTAAAATGAAGAGTGTGGGAAGTGGTAATGCTCTGTGAGGGTGTAATTAGGACCAGTGTTAACTTTAAGCCTGCAACAACTGATTTGTTGGCCAATTAGGGGCAGTATAAGTTGTGAGCTCAACATTAATGTATAATCACTTTATAATTTATATGTGGCAAACTTATTCGCAAACAGTTGCTTGTTTACACATCCAACATTTACAGAGCAACATTATCATTGATTAGAAATTGTGTTTTTGGCCTCCTGGTGAATGTAAGTTCAATATTAACTCTCTTTTTAGCTCTGTTTTTGGGCGCCACCATCTCCAAAGGGAAATACCTGGTTCTTTAGCTGCAAAATACCCACTGTGTTAACCAGCTTATCTGTCACTGTGTCTGTCAGCTGTCTGGTGCTGGGCAAGTAGTGTATAGTGGTTTTATAGAACTTTTTTTTAATCAATTTATTCATCTTCTAACCGCTTCATCCTCTTGAGGGTCGCGGGGGGGCTGGAGCCTATCCCAGCTGACATCGGGCGAGAGGCAGGGTACACCCTGGACAGGTCGCCAGACTATCGCAGGGCTGACACATAGAGACAAACAACCATTCACGCTCACATTCACACCTACGGACAATTTAGAGTTATCAATTAACCTAGTCCCCAATCTGCATGTCTTTGGGCTGTGGGAGGAAGCCGGAGTGCCCGGAGAGAACCCACGCTGACACGGGGAGAACATGCAAACTCCGCACAGAAGGGCTCCCACGCCCGGGATCGAACCAGCAACCCTCTTGCTGTGAGGCGACAGTGATAACCACCACGCACCGTGCCGCCCTTAATCTATTTAAATTTTTTTTTTTTTTTTTCAACTGAAAATAGCCTGATTATAGAGTGGTGCAGGAACGAACTGGATATAAGTTAGCATTTTAGCACTCCTGATTCCTTCGTCCTGATGTCAATACATTTTTTAATAGGTTTTATGTTAGAAATAGGGTATGCGGTCAACACAAATTAAGAGGCTTTCTTGAGGTTCGAAACCCAGGGTGGGGAGCTCTGTGTGGAGTTTGCATATTCTACCTGTGTCAGCGTGGGTTTTCGCTGGGTACTCCAGCTTCCTCCTGCAGTCCAAATACATGGAGGTTAGGTTATTTGGCGACTCTAAAATGCCTGTAGGTGTGAATGTGAGCGTGAATAGTTGTCTGTCTCTATGTGTTAGCGATAGTCTGGCAGCTCTGCCCTGCCCTCGCCTAATGTCAGCTGGGATAGGCTCCAACCCTAAAAATGCAGTCTCGCTAACAAGTGAATAAATGAGACATGGGAACCAGAGCGATGTTAACTTCCGTGCCTCTATAGACCCTTGTATATACGTGTGCTAACAATGGTATGCTAACATGGTCGATATGCCAATGCCAGCAGGTATAAAGTTTATCATGTTTACCACCTTAGTTTGGCATGTTAGCATGCAAACATTTGCTAATTACAGCTAAACACAAAGTACAGCTGAGGCTGATGGGAGCGTCATTGGTTTTGCGCTAGATCACCAACATTATTGGGATTTATACTCTATACATTGTGCGTCTCTGTACCAAATTTCATGGCTAATGGTGGTGCTAGAATAAAATTCAGGTATCACCAATGCGATAGCCTCTTTATCCTGTGCCATGCATGGCATATTAAGCTGCTAATGTGGTTTAAGACACAACAGAACACATACTTTACAAATTATAGCTGTTATAGCTGTATAACTGTTGAGTGGTCCATACCCTTGAACACCCATGCTCACATATTGATTGATACATATACTGTGTATATATATATATATAGGTGCTTATTAACCTCTTGTGAAGATTGATGTCACAGCAAATAACTTTTGTACTATTTATTTCCTTTCTTTTCCATTTTAGATTGCTCTGCCTGAGATGGCTGACCTTCCCTCAGGTAAACACATAGGTAGAGTAGGATGGAAAGTCATGTTCAACGCAGTACAAAGCCTGGAGGGCTGACATTTAAAATGTGCTATTTGCAGTGCTCACACATCTTTAATATTACTTTACTACTGAATAGCAGAGTCAACTACTGTATTAGTGGAATGAAGAATAAAAGAATTTACATAGCCTTTTCAATCCTGTTCCTCTGAAATGTTGACTAGATTATTGAATAGATCATTCAGAATACTTTTTTATCGATCCTTTTATTTCCACTCTCCAATCTATAGGCACGTGCTGTATGTTCAAATACTAATGCACACAGTATTGACTGAGCTCCACAGCATCCAGAAAGCCTCACCTCTGCCATTATGTACACGGGCACATAAAACGAGGAGACTCAATTTTAATACAGCAAAATTCACAGAAATCAAAGTTACCCGGAGACACTATTTTGAACATTCATGCAGCTCTCTTTTCTCATGTAATACCCTTTGCTTTTATTTAACAGATGACCATCATGGCAAGGACAGCATTCTCTCTCTGCTGTGCAAAAAGGACTTTGGCAGTTTCAGAGAGTCTGTGAAAAGAGAACATGTATACACAAAGTTTTCAGGTGAAAAGAGCCTCCTACACTACACAGTTGCCAGCGGGGATGCGGAGAGTGTTGAGCATGTCTTGAGCCTGGGTGCTGAAGTCAACTGTTCGACTGCCGGAGGTTACACTCCTCTTATTATGGCTGTCCTTCACAGGTCTGTATAAAATATATTAAAAACCAGTTTTTCAAGTGACACAGGGAAAAGTCTGCAGTTCTAAGGTTAACCAGAGGCTTTCTGCTCCTCTATTTAAAGTTAAAGTTACAAGATGGTGTTTCAGCGAACTCTCTTATTCACTTTCTTGTGTTCCATGTGTTCAGGCTTAATAGGAGGCTAGACCCAGAGAATGGAGTCTCCGCAGGTTGCCTGGCAACCTCACGATGATGACAAGAGTCATTTTCATTGTACCCTAATGAAACTTCCTTTCAACAGGCTACATGACATCATCCCTTTGTTGATGGAACATGGTGCAGCTGCCACCCAGGGAGATGCGGACCAGTGGACACCACTCCATTTTGCTGCTCAGAACGGCGATGACAGGACTGTGCGTCTCCTGTTGGACAAAGGAGCTGTGGCGGATGCCCGGGAAAAAACCGGTTGGATGCCCCTCCACCTGGCCTGCCAGAATGGCCATGAAGCAGTGGTGCGCCTGCTGCTTTCACGGCTGTCAGAGGAAGCAGTCAGAGAACAGGAGGCACAAGGGAGGACACCGCTCCACCTTGCCTCCGCTTACGGGCATCAGAATATTGCCAAGCTCCTCCTCTCTCAGGGAGCAGATCCCAACGCTACCGACTGCTCTCTCTCCACTGCTCTTCACTTATCAGCTGAAGATGGCCATAACAGAGTAGTCAGACAGTTGCTGAAGAGTGGGGTGAATACTGACAGTGCAGACAGCAGAGGCTACACTCCACTCCACCTGGCTGCTATGAGGGGTCACACAGGCATATGCAGGCAGCTGTTGTCGAACGGGGCCAACCCAGACTCCAGAAGCCTCCAAGGTTGGACTCCCATCCACCTGGCTGCTCTACGGGGACATGAAGCCACGGTGGTCCAGCTGGAGAGTCAGGGTTCTTGTGTTAATGCGGGAGGTAAGAATGGATGGACACCACTCCACCTCGCCTGCCACCAGGGTGAGCCAGAAGTCGTGGCAAAGCTTCTGGAAGCCAAAGCTGACCCAAATGTGTCAGAGGACAGTGAAGGATGGACACCGCTACATGTAGCTTGTTCCAGTGCCAGTTTACCAAGTGTCCTCCACTTGATATCGCATCATGCAGATGTCAACTCAGTAAACTCTGGAAAGTTAACACCTTTACACATGGCTGCCCAGAATGGCTACATGCCCATTGTAAAGGCTCTGCTGGTGAATGGAGCCGACAGGACTCTGAGGGACTCTTCGGGATCCACAGCTCTGAATATCGCCCAGAAGTGTGAAAAATGGGAAATAGTTCAACTACTGGAGGAGTGATTTTGGTGAAATATAATCCTGCTGTTGAGTGCGGATTTTACTAAAGCAGTTTCAAGCCAGATTTAGATTTTTTAAAAATGTTTTACCATTTTTTTTGAATAGACAGATTTTCATTATTAAATTATAAAAAAATATAAGTAAAATGCATATCAACTTCTTACAGTATTTAATAATGATAATAATACACAAGATTCCAGTTTATTGTTTACAAACAAATAAAGTTTTTGTTACATCAGATGTACCACATAAGGTCTTGCCATTTTCTGCTGCCAAATCACATTTACACAGGATTCCAATGGTGATGAAATTCCTGGAAAGGTTCTGAAATTAAAGAAACTGTTTTCAAGGCCTGGGGATAATAAAAAATGTTATGCAAATCCAAGCATGGATGTGAAATAGGTTAATTGTACGACTAATTAAAATCTTGTGCTGCGCCATGTGACCATTTCAGTGTCTCTTTTAACCAGTAAAGAAACCAGCCAGTGTGTTTTGTCATTGATCCACATGGACTGGGGAAATCTGAAGGGACATGATGGCGATCAGCCTTAATTCATTAAGGTATCTTGAATGCTCAGGTTCAGGTGAGGTTGCAGTTATTCCATGTCTTTAAAATATAGATTTGGTCAAGGAACAAATACATACAGATTTGTCACAATTATAATCTAAACACACTTCAGATTGCATTGACATCTATCTGTAGCAGTGGTTCCCAACTGATGGGGCAAAGTCCAAAAGTGGGTTGCAGGTCCATGGACCGCAAGTGACTCTCGAATGTGTCAAGTTTGTAAAAAAACACACACTATTTCCTGCAGATAGCGACATGGCAAAGACAGCAAACTAGCTTGACGACATGGCCAAATACAAATACAATGCTGAATGTATCAAACTGTGTGGACCTTGAACAAATGACTAAGGAGAGATCTGGACCTGTGGCTGGACCAATTGACCTATGGCTAAGTCCCGCCCTCAAACGCGATGAGCCAATCACAGTGCGTATAGCCATTCCCATGCACTGACATTCTCTGCCTGGACGTTCATTGAAATGCATTACAGAAAGTCAGTTTTGTTCGGTTTTATGAGCTTTTTCAGAGATTAGAAGTTTAAAAATGGTCAAATGGTGCGCATGGGGTACATGCAACTCCGACACAAGGTATCCTGAGAGGTTGGGCGACGTGTATTTTTTACACTTTAAACCACATCTCAACGGAGAAAAATGTCTCTTTTGGATAAAGTTGCATAGTAGACCACAACATCAGCTCAACGTGAATAAGATTAACAATGATGTCTACATCTGTTCTAAGGTAAGTCAACATCGTGTTTGAGGCAACATATTGTCACTTTGCTGGAAAGAAATATAAAGTTATCTTTAACATCTCTAGCTAACGTTAGCTAAAGTTAGCCTAACGTTAGCTTTTAGCTGCGTTGTTCATCGTGTTACCTCGTTTGCTGGGAGTTCATTAGCCTGTTTTGTTCTAGTTTTGTACTTTGGTGATCGTACATCATTGTTAGCTGTTGTCCAAAGGGCTCTAGTTAAGCTAACGTTAACTTCTGGACCTTAGCTTCATTAATTTATCTGTAATCACAGAGATAACAAAGGTTGGCAAACGTTATGCTGAATGATTCAGTGTAAATACTGTAGTACCAAACTAACAGAGAGACACTCTTGGTAAAGATGGTAAAAAGGCCGTTATCCTTTTCTCATATTCTGAGCCAAAAAGCTTAACTTCAGTGGCACTTTAACTTGTTGCCTTTGATGGCGACGGCAGCCAGATGCGGTTCACAACCGTACACTGTGACCTGTAAATTTTGGCTTGTAATTTAAGCTTTTCATCGACCTTCTCAACAATAAAATGATAAATATATCCCTCCAATGCAAAATTTAGGCCCTTTTGATTACTTCTCAATGACATCTGATTGTTATGTCCCCAAAAATCATCAATTGCCTCCTGCGAAATGCCGTGTACAGTGACACCAGCCATAGCGCCGGTCACTGAATGTTGATAGTTTGTCCGAGTGAGTGGAGGGGGCGTGGCTTAGCCATAGGTCAATTGGGAACTACTTATCTAAAGAATCTGTGGTTCTATATCACCAAAAAAATAAGGGCTGAGTCTCGATGTTGTGAGATGCCTTTATGTGCCGGTCTGGTCTATTGCTAGTTGGCGGTGGAAAACACTAATGAGCGAATAAAATTATTAAGCATTAGAAGTTTGCTTACCTGAAAATGCCTGCAAAATGAATGCTTAACAACGTATGGCTGTAGCACTATGCCTACCTAATTTAAAATAATTAAAAAAGGTGGGGTAAAATATTATGGAGAAGTTTTGAAAATTCATTGCCAGAAATTTGTAGGAACCCTATTGATCTTAAACTTAGTGACACAAAAGTCTGTAAAATCCTACAGGGGTTATAATGGAAAATAGGAAGGAACCAACACATGGGGTCAGAGTCAGGTGAAGTACCCTATAATGACAAAACACATATCGATCCTCCTCTCTGAATCACCTTGTTGCTTGCTTATGTTTTCCTGGTGATTGCAGCCAATGCTGCTGTCACATATGGATGAAAATGAAAATATAAAAGAGCTGCTGTTATAATGACTTACAAAGTCGTTCACTTGATTACACCTGTCAGACTTTATGAAGGGGTGTCTAATAATGGTAAGAGAACTAGTAGATCACTGTCACTGGCATCACTTAGATGTGTGTATTAAACTTTTACAACTATAAATACATCATGTATTTATAGTTGCACAGTTGTATAGAGTATTATATTGTGAGAATATTGTATAATGCGAGTATGCTTTATGACAAGGCAAGGTAACGCTGATTATCAGCCATTCCCTGCAGGCTGATAGAAGCGCTGCCCAGCTTATGCCACACTCATTTAACACAGTGACACCTTATTAAACTGAAATGAAATGCATGGATTCAGGAGCTGTATTGACCTGCACTTTCACAGGGTTTTCACTGGAACCACAAGAGACAGACTCTGATGGAGGGGTGGGAGATGAGCTGAATCAAATGACTGTAAATGAGCAGAGCAGGGTAAAGTCAGACTAAGACTGATCTTAGATTTTCTTCTTTCTCTTTTTCATTGCTAAGTGTGTCTTCGCCGTGTCTTTTTTTGTCTCCATGATGTCTGACCCTGAGAATATTACCGTAGGTGCTGTCTGCTAGCTTGTTTGTGTTGTCTGAATATTTGTATGTCAACACTGAATCATCCATCCATCCTCTTCTAATCCTAGGGGGATTAGATGAACTGGAAAAGGCATACTGTGCATGTTAGAGATTTAAGGCTCGCACAATTACAGTTGCCTGTGGCTGTTCAGCTGACCCACTGGTGTGTAAAACCACTCACTGACAAAAGAAAACAAACACTGACCTCTAACCTCAACTAAAACCTACACTAAGATGGGTGTGGCTACTTTAAAAGCCACACAATAAAAAGCGTTTTTCATCTGGCTGCATTCAATCCCTGTGATACTTGTGTTCGATTCATTCTTGACTCATTTTTCGACAGTTATCAGGAGGCAGCACTCACTTGGCCCGCCTAAGATTTAGATAAGCAGAACCCTGATTTATAGCGTCACATGGCTCATATCGGGAGCCTGACAAAGTAAAGTATCTGCTGACCCTGCTCTCACTGTAATTCATCCACTAGAGTTTGAAATGCAGCTATCGCATTATGAAAAGGGGCTCTCCGGAGAGGGCTGTGCATTGCAGATTGGGTAGTATGATATATGGTTCAAAATGGACTTTTTACTGCAGCAACTCCCATCAGAAATTTATGAGGCCTTCAGTGTCTCAAAAATTGGAGGCAAACCACGTTCATGTGATTGTTATCTACAGTAAACAGTCTGGTGACAGTTTCACAGATGGGACTGACACACATCTGTGGAATCCACGGAGCTGTGTCATTGTCTAACCTGTCTGACAGTGTTTTTGTCCGTCTATCGTTTAAATTGAACAAGCCTTTGTGTTTGACTCTGCCATTGTTGGACTGACAGATCCTGAAAAATTAAACTCACTTTCCCAACAACATCTAATCAGGCCCTACCTAAATCAATGGTGCTGCCCCAACCTTTTTACAAATACAGTGACACATCGGATACCTTCTATCAGCCAGTAATTGGGTTTGCAGCCACCTAAACTAATTTTATTTTCTAATAGGGGGGCAAGCAGGAAGAAGATAATGTCATGTAAGTTGCTGGTGCAACAAACACCACACAAGCTAAGGGAAGAAAGAAGAGGGCTACAATGCTGTTCCTATTTCTTCAATAACTATTATAATACCTGTGCTTGTGTAACATATAGTATATACACTAAATCGTTTATATAGAATGAAGCAATAGCTAACACCTTAATTATGTTTGTCCTTTTTATGCTCTTGCTAATGTGTTGTGCAATGCAGTAACACCAATCTGAGGAACTGTTTTAAATTAAACAGAAACTTATCTTTCTAATTGCTCCAACTGAACAGCTTCAAAATGACTACAGAACACAACTCACCACGGTGTATTTCCACCTACGCAAATTAAAGACGTGTTGCTGCATTCAGAGGCTCCAAATGCTTCATTGTAAAACTCATCTAGAGCAATTTGCATACTTAATAGCATTTTCAACAACTCGCACAATTAGATCATTTGGATATGGGCCCGCTATGGATGAGCTGTTTGATCCTCTCATCTGATGTTACCAAAATGCCTGCACACGCTGCAGCCTGTTTACAAGTTTAAGAGTGCAGATATTGTGTTTGCATCAAGCAGCAAGCTTCGGGCTTGAAAAATGAAGCCAAAGCAGAGGTGCCAAAAACTGCCGTTCCCCAAATGGCCACTTGAGACCGACTACAGAGGCAAGTCAATCCCCAGAGACATCCATGTTAAAATGCCAACTCTACAGCAGAAATGACAGGATGTTCTCACAAAGTCTTCTTATGTTTTCCTCACGAAAAGTAGGCTAATGCACCAAAATTCGTACATATCCCACATAATCATGAGCCAGTTATTCATGCCTAACCCACATATTTTGGAAGGCTACCGAGTGACAAATGTGTTGACGGGAGTAAAGGAAGCGGTCCTGAGTGGTCCACTCAGAAGAAAGGTTGGTGTGGTGGATGGGTCACAAAACACAGGACTTTTCCCAGGAGACCAGTGTTTGGAACTGTGTGAACTTTGATTGAACTTTGAGTCATTATAAGATACGTCCTCACTATGTGTCTTTTCCTAAACCTAACCATTGTAACTTAACTTGCCCACACCTAACCTTTGTAACTCAGCGTTTATCATGTAACCTTGTGGGACACTAATTTGTAGGATATCATACAAACTGTGCGTGCATTTTTGTTTTCATCCGGACCTTTGTATGAGGATACGTTGAGAGAAAAAAAAAAAGGTTACAGCCTTGTA